CGCATTATGCAAATATTTCCACATAGTGAGGTAGATATGTGGGGGCGTGTTAGAATGAGCCGTTTTAGGGGGGCGTGGCAGAGTCTTAACTTTGATAAAGAATATCTCTTTAGTTTTGAGACTTTAGTCTTTGCAACTTCAGGGATCTTATCTATGCACAATCAGCTTGTAACACTCCAAAGAGAAAGGAAAACTTGAAATCGCATCATATGACCCCTTTAAATAATTAATGATAATGTACAGGCAGTCTGGTATTATTCCAGGGTGATAATCACCAAAGCAGATCACCTTCAAGGAACTTATCTATAGCAAAAAGGACAGTCTGACTGTACTTTATCTCAACTTTATTATGGCCACTTAACAAACATAAAGGTATATGGGACAGAACACAGTTACTGTATGTAGAAAACCAGGTTTCCATGTTGAGCGATCAGTTATACAGTTTAGCACTGGATGACAGTTATAACTCACACATATTTGAGTCCTGAATGCGGCCTTTGACACATTTTGTCCCAGTGAATTTGTCCAACCATTCACCTCATTAGCAACAGTCCTGACCTTTTAGTTCTGCTAGTTTAATGTTTTGTATATCACTTACTCCACAATCTCTATTTTCTCACATAATGTAATATTTTACTCGCAAATCAATATCTCATATCCATGTTTTTTTTATTAATTTGCTAAGTGTAATGAGCAGGATAATGTAGGGGAGCGCGGGGCACAAACTAACGCGGGGTAAGTTGTAACACACATGGTTTAAATATTTCCACGCATTCTAGAATAACAAAATGTATGGTATTTAGTTGCCATATCAACACTATATAGAGAAAAAAAGTGCACCAAAATGAAAAAATCTTTTGAAGAAATCACTGAACATTTATTTTACCATAGTAAAAGTAAATTTCTGGCTTAAGTATGTTTTTTTTATCTCAGTTTTTAGTATTTATTTAAAATAAGAAAAATCTGCTATTTTAATCTCCAAACTGTTATTCATCAGTTTAGAGTTTAGTTTAATGCTTCGCTACCTAGCAGAAGACACTAACCAGTTTTAAATTCCAGTTGCGCAGATGGAGAACGGTGCAACACTGCGTTACAATGTGCCCCGCTTTAATTAAACTATGCTTTTCTATGGCATTAGTGATATAATTTACACCTGGGGGCCCAACTCTGTTCCTGGAGATCTACCTTCCTGCAGAGTTCAGCTGCAACCCTGATCAAACACAACTGAACCAACTAATTAGGATCTGAAGGAGCACTTGATAATTACAGACAGGTGTGTTTGATTAGGGTTGGAACTGAACTATGCAGGAAGGTAGATCTCCAGGAACAGGATTGGGCACCCCTGATTTACACTATTTACTTTAATGCATTTTAATGAGAAACTACGAGTAACAGGTGAATAAAGACAGACAGTCAATGTTTAATGTTCAGAAATTATTATTTCAAGAAATGTAAAGCATTTTGGCTCGTTTACGGGCCGTCCGAAGCATGGTTGCAATGTGTTCATTGTCAAACTCCAAAATCAGATTATTTTTAATTCTTAAAAAACGGCATTATTTTATTTGAAAAAAGTTAATAATTTGTATTTTTTGACAAAATATTTTAGTTTGTCTTGTATATATATATTTTTCCATTAGATCAGATAACATTTTAAGCTGTCATATGGTCATGTTACAATGTGCCCCTCAGATGTTACAATGTACCCCACCTACGGGGCATGTTGTCACATTTCACTTCTATTTTTTGAGGGTAAATAAAGAAAAATGTATGCGCTGTAATTATGAAACAAAGCGACATATTTGTGCTAGACAAGTGTGAAATTACTGTGGATAAAAAAATTATACTCTGAACCCCATGTGGTTTCACACAAACTGAGAAAGTCAAAAAGTGTTAGGTTGTGCCCCGCTTTCCCCTACAAGTCAGCTTGTCATAGACACTTCAAAGTATGGGTTGCTTAGAATAGTTGGGTATACATCTCAGCATGGACAATGATAGCAATTAGGCTATGTTCAGACTGTAGGCAAATCAGATTTGTTCTCAAATCAGATCTTTTCAGGCAGCCTGTCCGCACTATTAATTGCAAGTGATCAAATCTGATTTGTGTGCTTTGGTAATGATGCAAGTGTACCAACATATGTGACAAGACTTTCAAAACGGATGCAGCAAAAGCAAAGGTGCATCATCTCGCTCTCTAAATAAGCACCCTGTCGAAAACTCCTGCTCTGCACAAGAAAAAGTCAGCTACAGAGGACACCGTGCTCTAGTCACGGCCAGCTTCACTGTGCAGCAAGGGGTGCTGTGTCTTTCAGCATATCCGTCACCAGTTTTGATGTTAGGGGAAATAAGGTTTTGTATCGTTTTTGAATTGACAAAAACAAACAAATTAAAACCATTTTAAATGGTACCACTGCAATACGATCTGAGTTTGCTGTTAGTTTGCGAGCAACAATGAGGAGTGTCAAAACAGTCAATCGCATAAAACAGAAGATAAAGAAATTCATCCAAAAGTCTTTCTCTTTGGCTTCTCCGAGCTCTTTCCACAATCTCCTGCTTCTGCAGTCCTTCTAGCCCACCAATAACTCCATTACTTAACCAATCTTGAAATGTCTCCTTCTTTGGCTCAGTGGCCTCCCTCACCGCTATAGTGTCCACCAACGGATTCTAGGGATACCACCACGATGGAGACCAGCTGCTTTCGCAATGAAGGCCTTAAACAAGGTCACTCCGACTCCATTACCCCAGTCTCTCTCAGAATGAGGGAATAACTCCTCCGGAGTTTGGAGTTAAAAATTATATTTCCCAGTTCACCCTCACAACCTGTTTGGTTTTCCCAGGTCTGTCTGGCATCCTCTCTCATCATTTGAATATGGTGTTCAATATGGCCAAACCATGACCTGCACAAAAGTCAATTAACAGAACACTGCTTGGGTGAAGTCTCACAGGAGTTGCATGGATTCCCCAATTGGAACCTCTTCTAGGGCCTCAACTAGGGTCTCCGTGAAGGCTGAATACTCTGAATTGCTTTTTGGTGCATGGGGACAGATCACAATAAGACCCTCTACAACAGTGGTTCTCAACTCCAGTCCTCAGGACCCACTGCTCTGCACATTTTGTATGTCTACCTTATTTAACGCACCTGATTCAGATCATCAGCTCCTTAGGAGAGAGATCCATGAACTGAACTGAGTGTGTCAGATTCAGAAATATACAAAATATGCAGAGCATTGGGTCCCGAGGACTGGAGTTAAGAACCACTGCTCTACAACACAAAAGCCCTGTTTCCACCGCAGGAACTTTCCCCAGGAACTAGGGACTTTGGGCTGGTACTCGGTGTGTTTCCACCGCCAGAACCAGGGTCTAAATAAAGTTCTGGGTAAATATTTGCCCCTCAGAAAGTCCTTGCTCGCAAAGTAGTAATTTTTCAAAGGTCCGGAACTTTTGGGGGCGGGACTTGGGCACTGAACATGCTGATTGATTGATTTCACGCAGCAACCACCATATCTGCATAATTAAAAAAAATATATTACTTTTATTGTGTCATGAAATTTAGTTTTAAAAGGATTTCAGGCGAGAATGTAGTTGTTTAAAACTCAAACCTGCAGTTTATTTATAAAAACAGTGCCTATTTGAAAATGTGCTTAGCTGATTTCGGAGACGTGAGCTCCATGCGATCACCAGGCGCTCAGTGCTCATGTTTCCCAACGAGAGCAGCCTCAACTCGGCTAGTCTTTTTGACATTTGCCGCTGGCTCTGATGTCTCTGTAGTGGTTAAACATAAGATGTAATTCGTTTTGGGTCAATCTAACAGGTAATCTTTGGTCTTTATTCTATTATTTTATTAATCTATTAATATGTTAAAATGAAAATTAAAATAGGCAATACTGTTTGATATAATATTTCGTTTCATTGTAATGTATGTACGTTCCCTGAACTACATTTCTG